ATTGTTTAATTTTCACTTCCTTTGTTTTTTCGGATTGCGATTTGAAAGGAGAACTATTTAAAGCCTGTTCAACCCTAAGAACAACCGTTTTTTACTATTATATGTTAATGAAGTACTGAGAAACTTGAAGGTTTACAGTTTATACAGTATCCGAATTTTAATACAATTCGGTGGTGGTTTTTCGTATCACTTGTTACCTTTTGTTTCAGTCATCTCTTTATTGTTTCAGCATTATAAAATAATTTAAAAAATTCTTATTTATGTTTCATTTTCTTGCAATATCTCATCCGATTCGAGCTTAATTTCTATTCAGATTGGGATCTTGAAAATTAAACCTTGCGTACAATTATTAGTCACCTGCGTGCAACACGTTTTGCTATAGGCCAAGACAAAAAAAAATAAAAAAATAAAAAACTTGAAATTTATAAAATTAATTAATTGCTGTCGGCTTTAAAAGATCTACATTATTCCAGTATCTTTTTTCAGATTAGACTAAAGAGAAGATCGATTGTCAAAATCTTGTATTACCTTTCTTAAAAGAAGATAAACAAAATGGCTAAATTATTTAACTTGGTGGGTCATTTTAATTTACAACTAAATAATATATTAATTTATTTCATCGAATCAACTATTTAATTAACATATTATCTACTTTATTATATTCCTAACTTATTGTATAACCATCCTGAAATTTTTAACCATCTTCTTGACAAAATGGTTTTGTATTGCAACGCACCTTAGAGATGCCATACACTAACCCTAAAAACTCAGTGAACATCGGACCGTCTAGCATTATAATTGTATCGAACGCCAATCAGGGTGTGTCACGTATGCGCACCACAAGAGGCATATGTCCTTGGTGCGATGCACCGTTGTGTGGTGTAGGATAAACACCTGGTTTGAACGTTAAAAATTTCAAGACGTTCACACCTAAAAGTCTTCGAATATTTTAAACGTCAATTTGAACAGTGTTAGTTTGATGTAATAATATACAGGAAGAACCTTATCTAAGGCAAAAAGAAAGGAATCTAACGTCAAAATCTGGAAGAAGCCAACAAAATCTATGAAATTCACGAGGCCTCAAAATTAAAAGGCAAGCCAATAACAGGTCTATATCTATACATATTTTTATATTATAAAGAATTTAACATCAAGAATCAAAGATACCATTTCTTGAAATTATTGGGTCCCTAGTCCCTACATTGTCCCTTTGTTCTTCTTTTTTAATTCCCTTTATGCTTTAATGGCTATATATATATAACCTACTGTAAATTTGGATTGTTGCTCATCATGAAACTGAAAACAAACATAAATTTAGTACGGTATTGTATTGTTTTTATGCAATTTAGGAACCTTCCACTCTCAGTCTCTCACGCAAAGCTCATATGTTATGTATATGTTGTAGTACTTGGATTTATATTTATGTGCTTGAGATTGAGATTTCATATTTAGGGTTTTGAGAAATATTTGAAGTGTTCACGGCTTGTACAGGAAAAGGAAAGAGATGGAGAGAAGTGATTTAATTTGATGGGATTTCTGGAAAAAGTTGAAGAGGTGGGAATTTTCCCAGAGAAAATATTCTAATTAATGAAAAAAAAAAAAAAAGGAGTTTTCAATGCTCCATAAGTGGGAAAATTACTATAAACTTTAATCCCTTTTCATGATCTTAAATTTAATTAGATTTAGAGTTCTAATTGTTTATTTCTTCAAATCGTCACTCTGAGATAAGTTCAGCGTCACATATCTCAAAACTACAAAGTTTTTTTTTTTTTTTTTTGGGAACTCTTTTCTGATATGAATTTATCTATACTTTAAATGATTTTAGTTTACAATAATTCAGAGTTTGAATTGTCCAGGTTTTCAATAAACAATGTATGGTAATATTAACATATTTACAAGACATATAGATACACATATTTATGCAAGATTTGGATCAATTTCTGGAGGATTCCGATCTCTATAAAAATGACAAAAATCAGACAGATGATGCTAATTAAGGAAACTCATGAGCAACAACAAGATAGAGATCAGAGAGAGAGAGTACTTTGGATAGTAATAATAGAGGGGTAAAAACTGTTTCTAAGATCGAAGATGGTAAATTTATCCATCCATGCATCAAATCAAACAATTCAAAAGTTTTTGCAGAGAGTTACTGTTTCTTTAACTTGTCTTACATATAACTACTGGAAAATGATATTTCATTTCCAGTTTGTGAAACAAAAATGTCAGAAGTTTGAAGCAATGAGAAGAAACGAGAAAGCATAACTGGTTTTATTGTATTTTTGTACTATTGGATATGGTTCATACTTTTGTACTGGGTTGGATAGATCGGATAAACCTAAATGAGGTTAAATTTTCTATTATATGTATTTTGTAATAGTGAAAAACCTAGACTTAAAAAAAAAAATAGAGAACAAGAGTGAACTGTTAATACTTTAAAATTATTGTATTATGTAAATTTTTGAAACTCAATAAAATTACTCTATTTGAATGTTGGACGTAGTTCCTTTGGTGGAATGAATCAAGGTAAATCGATTGTCTTCTTTATTTTTCTGCTTTAAAATAACTGTTGATTCTTTCTTCTGAAATATTCCAAATCTTTTTTCTATGTTGGCAAGAAAACTATTGTATATAAATTTAGAAAGAGAAGAAAGATTCGATTCTTCATTGAAAGAAGATCAGTGCTATGCTTACAACTGAGTAATATAACCAGACAAAAAACAAAGGACAAAGTAGTTATTTTACATAAATTTTATATAATTTTTGTTTAGTTGTATCACTCAATTATAAGTAAATCATTATTGTTGAAAAAATATATTCCTATCCTCAAAATGAATTGTACTAACTATACACCTTGGTCTTGTGACGGAGTTTATATATAAGTTCATTTTATCTTTTGAAAATTTTGAGATTTGGGTCGAGTTATATATTATGTATATAAAAAGTTGATAAAATACATTTAATTAATTGTGTCATTAAATTGATCAATGAATGTGTAGGTAGAGAAAATGAATTTTGATTCAGATCGATTAAATTATTACTAAGAAGCATTAAACGAGTTCATATGAATCATAGATTCATAATTCTATCTATTAACCCATTGAATATCAATCTTAATCTATCCCTAATGAACCCTAATTCAACGTGTTATTTAAACTAATCTATGTTATTATATATAATTTATCAACCCATTTAAAATCAACTTTTAACCGTAATTCCGAATAAAGGTAATTAAATTTTACCTATATCTTTCAGTACACGAAGAATTCTATAATAAATCATGATACAAAATATACATCAAATTAAATACGTAAGTTTTAAGATAAATGAAACGAGGTGAGAGAGACAAGACGTATTGAATTATATATACATGTGCATACATATATGAACCTTCATTTTATGACCGTACATAAATCCTTATCACTTATTAGAAAACATATAATAATACCATTTCCATGATTTTTAATTTTTTTTAAATTTTGTTTTATTTTATCTTCTTTGAAATTGAAGCTATACCTCTTGATAGAGAGGTTGATTTTTATCTCTTAATTTTGAAACTTGTATCTCAAATTCAACCCCATACGTATAATTGAAGATATTGTAATTAATTTCTTGCCTAAATTGTTAAAGGCAAAAGACTTGATCTATAAATTTAAAGTAATACAAAGACATAGGGACCCAAAAAAATATGCTTTGAAATATATACGATCTCATTTGTTCTCCTCATTACCATCAATTAAAAAAAAAAAAAAGAAAAAAAAATCTAAAAATGAAAAGCTACTTTGACCATACCATTAATTATATTTTCCCATTTATTTTGCTAATATTTTAATTAATTAACAATAAACCGATATTAGTTAAACAAAGAAGAGTACTACACACCATTACATAATTAGAATTAAATATATAGAAAACAAAAAATTTGAATAATATTATGAAGGACAGGACAATGAATGAATCCATTCTTGTGACAGACACATGTTTAACCAACTGTTTACTTACCTTCCTAAAAAGGTATCCTTTTAGTTTACTTTACTTTGTTTAATAAATCACGTCGAATCTACAAAATATTGTGTCCAAAATCTAGAAACTCGTGTTAATGCACTAACTTCATTTTCAAACTTTTTTTTTTCCCTTTTTTTTAACGATGGGATGAAAGAGCTAACTAGTATATATCTTAATTAATCTGTTGGGGTCTTTAAAATTATAGACCGAATAAAAGTTTCAATGACTACTCCTATTAGAAGCTGAAATGAATCGACCTCAAGAATTATTAAAATATTGTGTCCAAAATTTAGAGATTTATGTTAATACACAAACTTCATTTTCAAACTTTTCTTTTTTATGATTGAGGTGTTCGGATCAGTATGTGTGCACCTCAACTAATCTTTCAGGATCATAAAACTACTAGTTGGATAAGATTTTCAATTATCACTCTTATTAAAAGCCAAGGTAAATTAAACTTAAGATCCAAAAATTTTAGTTAAACACTCAACCACATAACGGTGTTTTCCATTTCCAAACTTAAATCAATGAAAATGTAGGGTAAATTGATTAAAGGGATTCCAGAAACTACCTCAATTAGCATTTGTACTTTTATAAAATGGGGTTTTTTTTAATTTAAAAAATATGTGTTAAAGAGATGAGCCAAAAAAAAAAGTATTGGTAATCTCAAACACACAAAAACACATGCAATATAAAGGTGGCTCTTCTTCTTTACGGCCAAGACACCCACTTCATGCACTACATGACACTCCCCTAATTTCACTACAAATAAACTTCCCAATTCTCTCTCTCTCTCTCTCTCAACCTTCTTCTTCTTCCGCCATGCCTCTCTCTTCCATTGAGCTCCATCACCTCTCCCCTACAAGGTCTTCATCACTTTTCATTTTTATTCATCTTCATCTTCTTCATTTTCTCATTTAGAAGGAAACTCACTACTTTATTCGCATTTTCTTGGGTGGGTTGATTCTCAAGCTCAAGCTCAAGCTCAAGCTTCAATGGTTGAAGCCACCAAGAGTTTTTCTAACTCTGTTGAGTGCTACACTTGTAGTACTCAACCGGGTATTCCTTTTTTCCACTCTACTACTGGTGACAGTGCCCACCGCCCCAAATGGCAGGCTTTAGCTGGGTCATCCCTCATCCCCATCCGGGTCGAACCCGAACAACCCGACATGAAGACTGTCGTCGGTTCGACCCGAGATGAGGGTTTTCTGGTTCGGTTCGGTTCGGTTTTGGATCCACGAAGCGAGTTTGTACGAAAGTGGAATAGGGTGTTGTTGGTGGCACGTGGTGTCGCGTTGGCCGTCGATCCTATATTTTTCTACGTGTTCTCGTTGTATATAGGCGAGCGTGGGGTCCCGTGTGTCCACTTGGACGCTGAGTTGGCAGTGCTGTTGAGTGTTATTCGCACGTGTGTTGATGCGGTGCATCTCTTTCACATCTGGCTTCAGTTCAGATTGGCTTACGTGTCGAGGGAGTCCCTTGTTGTGGGGTGTGGGAAACTCGTGTGGGACGCACGTGCGATCGCCCAACATTACGTGAAGCCTCTCACTGGTTTTTGGCTTGATGTTTTTGTCATACTACCAATCCCACAGGTAACCGATTTCCCCTATTCAATCATATCTCGACACCTCATGGTTTCATAATACCATAATATACATTCTAAAACAGGGTGTATATATATATGAAATTAAGCAAGCATTATATCTTGTTTCTTTGATTATTTTGCAGGCAGTCTTGTGGTTAATAATTCCGAAGCTCATCCGAGAAGAAGAAATTAAGCAGATAATGTCAATTCTTCTGCTAATGATCATGTTCCAGTTCTTCCCAAAAGTGTACCACAGCCTGACTTTGATGAGAAGAATGACCAAAGTTACAGGTTTCATTTTCGGAACCATTTGGTGGGGCTTCAGCATCAATCTGATTGCCTACTTAATTTTCTCACATGTAAATATAATCAACATCAGATTCTGCAGCAACATTCGATTCAATTTCATTTCATTAATCCTGAGGACACATTGAGCAAAAATGGGTTCATTTTGCAGGTTACAGGGGGATGCTGGTATGCTTTAGCCACACAACGTGTTGTTTCATGCCTCCAGCAACAATGTGAAAGGAGTAAACACTGTGGTGATTTTTCTCCGTTTTGCTCGAAAATCGGCGACGGTTCTCAAACGTTGCCAACGATGATCGGGAGATCATCGTGCTTGGATGACAATGGACCCTTCAAATATGGGATATATGCTGCTGCCCTTCCTGTCATTTCTAGTAATTCTCTTGCTGACACCATTCTTTATCCCATATTCTGGGGATTACTAAACCTGAGGTAATTATCCTACCATCAAAGAATCAGAATTAGGTCTGTACCTGAGAAATTTCCGACGCTGATCATTTGTTGTGCTAACATTTTGCAGCTCGTTTGGCAATGAACTTGAGCCCACAAGTGACTTGCTAGAAGTGATGTTCAGTATATGTATTGTGCTCTGTGGCTTATCCCTCTTCACATTATTGGTTGGGAATATCCAGGTGATTTGAGCTTTAATTTTTTTTTCTGTAATGATTGATGAACATTTCATGAATTCTTAGTCTAATTAATTAATTAAGGACCACCCTTTTATTTTGCTTGAAGGTGTTACTTCATGTGGTCATGGCAAGGAAGAAGAAAATGCAACTGAGAAGTCGAGATATGGAATGGTGGATGAGACGGAGACAATTGCCCTCTCGTCTGAGATGGCGAGTACGCCATTTCGAACGTCAGAGATGGGCAACGATGGGAGAGGATGAATTGCAATGGATAGATGACCTGCCTGAAGGACTCCGGAGGGATATTAAACGTCATCTTTGTCTAGACCTCATAAAAAAGGTAACTTTATTATCTTTGTGTAAAATTTACGATTTCTAATTATCTTTAGAAATTATCTTTAGATGGTTGGTTGAGTGGTTCGATAAAGACACTTAAGTTTATTACACAAAAGGTCTTGAAATTGAGTTTTTTCTCGATTGTTAATAAGGGTAACCACTGAAACTCTTATCCAGTTAGTAGTTTCAAGGTTCCGAGAGATTAGTTTAAGTGTACGTAATCTGATCCGAACACCCTGAGCATCGAAAAAAAAAAAAAATTTACCATTTCTTTGAAATTGAATAATCCTATGGATTCTATCTCTATCCTCAGGTGCCATTATTCCACAACTTGGATGATCTTATTCTGGACAACATATGTGACAGAGTGAAACCCCTTATTTACTCTAGGGATGAAAAGGTACTATCTTGCAACTTTACATTACCTCAATCCATATACTGTGTATATGTATTCAGAAAATGTTTGTGTAAACAGGTAATTAGAGAGGGCGATCCAGTGACGAGGATGTTGTTCATCGTTCGCGGGCGAATAAAACGGAGCCAAACTCTAAGCAAAGGCAATGTAGCCATAACTATGCTAGAACCAGGAGGCTTTTTAGGCGACGAGCTGCTCTCCTGGTGCCTTCGTCGCCCTTTCACAGACCGTTTACCGGTATCATCAGCGACATTTACTTGCGCAGAAGCGATGGAAGCATACGCTCTTGATTCTCACCATCTGAGGTACATTACGGAACACTTCCGGTACAAATTCGCCAACGAAAAGCTGAAGCGAACAGCCAGATATTACTCATCGAATTGGAGAACCTGGGCAGCTGTGAACATACAATTTGCTTGGAGAAAATACAGGATGAGGATTAGAGGTCCTATGAATCCTGAAATGGGCAGTGGGGGCATCGAGACTAGGCTTAGACAATATGCAGCAATTTTCATGTCAGTAAGACCACATGACCACCTTGATTAGTGGCAAAATTTCGGTTATTGTAATTCCCAATAGGAAAATTTTATTAAAAAAAATATTTGTAACTTAGAAAAAAATTAAAAGATTTTTTTTATTTCTAAGTTACAAGGACATAAGAGTTGGGCTAGTAGTGGCAGGCGATGTAGTGGGTCTAGTTGGGCTGGATTAAGAAATTGGCAATATCCTCATTTAAATTTACAATACAACTTTTTTTTCTTTTTTTTTTTTTAATAATTATTTGTATATGAAATTCAAGCATGTTATGTTATCTATTATTTTTTTATTATAAGTAATCGGGCATTCAGACCAGCTTGCGTGCATACTAACTAATCTCAAGATCCACTGAATACCCTACAAATACGTTAGGTAAGTCACAAATGTAGTAACATCCTACAAATACGTTAGGTAAGTCACAAAATGTGGTAGATGACCACTTGGTGGGACTCGAACACAAAATCTATGAGTAACCTAAAGTTTTGTCCATAAGCTAAGTGGTTTAAAAACTCATTTTCATAATTATAACAATTAAAATGAAATTTTTTTTGTAGATACTTTTCAAATGGTCATTGCTAGAAGTCAATGGGTGTGTTTAGATTATAAAATTGTTTCAACGTGTGCTAAAAAATTGATCATATTGAGATATATATAATCTTTTTTTTATTCGTTAAGGATATTAATATACACTTTAAGACAACTATTAAAGAATTTTTATACTGAACACTAGTTATTTGATTGAAAAATTGGTTCTAAAATTGAATTTAAGAAAAACCCACTTTGAAAATATCATAATCAAACATGCAAATCAAATTGCAATGTCATAATTCATAATCTAAGTTGTTATTTTAAACCATCGGTACGTAGTATCCGCGATTTAAGTGAGAGGTCGTGACAGTGAGTTGTTGTATTAGTCTATTTTGAAGATTAGTTGAAGTGTACGTAAACTGGTCCGAACATTTGGTGGCAAAAAAAAAAAAAAGTTGTTATTTTAATATTTGAAACCTGCAAATTGAAATATTTAACCAACATTCTAGGCTCCGTTTGGCATATTATTTCTACCTATATTCCAAATCCTATTCTCAAAATATTATTTGTTTTGTTATTTGAGAAATATTAGTACATTTTTTTAATTACTTTTAGACCCCTTAATTTTATTAATTTCATTAAATACCCCTAAAAAAGTTTAAAAATTAACAAAAACATCCCCACCCACCCATACTTGCCAGATTCCGGCAACCACCGTCGGTGGTAGCCAGAATCTGTCACAATGGTCTACAAACGATCGGAACTGGCCAATAATTCACCGATCTGGCCGTCGTTGACCGACAACGACGACCACATCTTTGGCCGTTAGCTTTGGACTTTTTCGACCGTTGACGACCAGATCTGGCCTTTTTCGACCAGATCCGTAGTGGATTTGGCAAGAAGAGGCCATATCGACGTCTTACCCGCCAGATCCGACCGGTCTGCGTCGTAACACCATTTTTCGGTCAAATTTTGACAGTGGTAGCCGAAATCTGGCATTGTGTGTGGGTGGGGGTGTTTTTGTCATTTTACAAAAAAATTATATATTTGGGTGTTTAGTTAATTAGCAAACCTAAGGGTTTTTTTTTTGNCCTCATGAAATATTAGAAAAGTTCCTATGACCCTTCAATATATAGGGGCAACCTTAATTAACTTTGCAGGGACACTTTTACCTCGTTGAAGGAATTTAGACTTGTAGTTTCATGTTTGTTCTTGTTTCTTTAACAATATGTGAGACTCAGAACAAAAATATATGTTGAGGTCCACATAATTTTTTTCCCCATTGTCATGCAACATAATCAATAAATCGAAATGAATTCAAAATTTTTAAGGAATATATATATTTAGAATAAACCAAATTAATTAAAAGATATTGACTTAATCAAGTAATTTGGAACCGAAACCGACATCTCGGGTACCCTGTCGGTTCTGATTTCACCCTAAAAATTTTATCACCCCTAGAGAATATGATATGTTTAATCTCTTAATTAATATTGTTTATGAAATAGCACCTCTTGTCTTTCCTGGCACATAGAAGATTTTGACTATAACGGTGTGTTTGGTTTAGGGAATATTGCATTACTAGGAATGTTATATTAATTGAAAGAAAGATTACCTTAAAGATTACTGGAAATGTTTAGAGAAATGTCTTTGGGTGGTTGGAATAAATTGGTGGGTATGTTATATTAATATATTTGGTTGAGAGGAATATATTGGTGGATATGTTATTTAAATTACTGAATTATCCTCTAATTAAATATTATTTTTTATATTATTTTTTAGATTATTATACAAAAACAACTCCATAATAAAAGTTTGGACAATCAACAATGCACCCCCACCAATCTAGCCATAGCCGGCAACCTAACGGTACAAGGAAGGCCGAAAATGGCCTTTGTGAGCCAATATGGCCATTTCCAGTCAAAGATCTGGTCAAAAATGGCCAGATCAGGCCACAGCGACTATTTCCAGCCTTTTGTGCACCGTTCTGATGGCAGTAGCGACTGGCAACCGGCGGTGGTTGTCAGCAGCTTGCAATGGCAGGTGGGTGAAGGTGGTGGCTTAGGTGGACTGCAATTTGTTTTGAATTCAAGGGTAATTTTATCTAAAAAGTTAATTAACTAAGGTAAAATTGTAAAATTCAGATTCATGTAAATTGATTTTAAAACAAGGGCATTATTATCCAAAAAATTTATTAATAACGGATAAAATTATAACCAAGTAATCTTACTATATTTAAGAAAATGGAAGTAATTAGATTATCTCTGGTATTGGAAGATTACCGGAATCTTATATACTTGACAACTAAACATGGTAATTAGGTAATATAAGATGATATAACCTCAATAATCATATATAACCCCCAACCAAACACTCCCTAATTATTTAATTAATTCTTCTCTTTTTCTTTATTTTTCTTTATATTTTTATGTATATTTTTAATTGTTAATTAATTTGCTAAATAATAACTTCATCTTGAATCATTGAAATGGTTTCAATTTTTGCTAGAAATTTCAAACTATATACGGCATCTCATGTGTATAATATTAGCCAAATTAATTAGGTACATGTCCTAATTAATTATATATAAATTAATTGAAGAAGGTTTATTTTAGCCATTATGTATTTATTTAATACTAAATTGGAAATTGTGGGTCGTAACGATGTGATACTTGCTATGGTTATATATATATATAGGATAAATATATTATCTATAATATATATCTAGCATACATGATGATCCTAAAAATTTGGATCAAATTATAATATAATTATATATTAGCTTTATTTGCAAGCCGTTTTTATATATTAAATAATCTTTCCTTACCTCACAAATTCACCATTTTTTTTTTCTATTTTTAGTTCTTCATCCTCCAGGATTTGTGTTTTGGATTTTATTTAAAAACGAATCCAAAAATGAAAATAAGTAGCTTGATTTTGAGCTAAAATACTTCGGTATCATGTTTCAAATAGGTAACATAGCAAATGTAAAGTGTTCCATTTCGAAATTCAATTCTCTTTTGAAACGTGCAATATACGATAGTTTTTTGCGTCATCTATCTTTCAGCGAAGCAACAACTAAGATCGTGAAATGGTAAAAAACAACAATAATGCATTAATTTCCATTCTTTAGGTTATAGTTTCAATTATTTTATTTTGGTATGAAAGATATTAATGGCTTTTGCTTGATAAAGTTGAAAGTGATTTTTATGCAACACAAAGTGTTTTGATGATGATGCCTCAAATAATAAGTTTGAAAGGACTTTGTTTATAGTTACAAGGCACTAAGGACACACTTAAAGCATTTTGATTTCTTTCTTCTCCCCACTTTTAATTGAGATAATATGAAATAATTGAATATCGCACGTACCACGTTTTTTCTGGCATTCAAACTATCACTTAACCAACTCCAACTACAAACACTAAATTGGTATAGCTTTGAACGTATTTTACTATTGCATCTTCATTCATTGTATCAAATATTATACCAAAGGAATATTTTTTTAAAATATTTCTTTTTTTTATTTTAGTTAATAATCAACAATCATTTATTTTATTAAGTTATTTTTCCTATATTAATTAATATTGAGAATGATATTTTTATTAATAATACAACTTTGCAAAATTAAATTTAATAAATAATAAGCATTAATTTAGTCAATAAACATTACATTTAATATATAAAAATTACATCTAATATAAATATCACCAAAAAAAAAAAAAAAATGACACCAACCACATAAAAGTAAAATTCCATATTAATAGTAATTTAATTTTCCGAATTAGTATATTATTCTCACAAATGATCAATTAACGCATTTTGAAAGAGCATGGTAAGCCTTCGTACCGTTGATTAGTCTATAATGAGCTCTAGTTCTTTCCAATATTTTGATGAATTTAGAGGACCCAGAACTAATCTACCAGAATACTGGATTGTTATTTTAGTTTATGTTGTATTTTCTTTTAATTTTAGTGTTTTTAAATTAGTGTTAATTTTTATTTTCAGTTATTGTAGTTTAATATTTGCATTGAATAAAATTTTGCTTTTAATTTTTCATCATTTTTTGAATTATATAATTATTATGAATTTATTATTATAAATAATAATCAAATTAACATAAATACAAATTTAAAAAAATAAATAACAAAACTAAACAAAACCTAAAATAGATTGGATACAAATTATAATATATAGTTAGCTTTATTTGCAAGTTGTTTATATAAATTAAGTTCTTGGTTACCTTCTTAAATGAACCCATTTTTCTATCTTTGGTGTTTTTTTCTTTTTCAAAGTTAAATTTTTTTTAAAAAAAAAAATTGAAAATACATGTATTATCTTTAAAGAAAAATGAGAATAATATTATAAGGGCATTTATTATCATTTTCTTTTGTTAAATATTAGATCTAGAGAACAAAAAATAGAAATATCCTTTGTATGTTTAATGGGGTTTCAATTTTTTAGTTATACAATGAATTCTCAA